GCTGATGCCTTTTAATGGAATTTGTGGGTCAAAAAAGGGGCTACCAGATTTCTGATTTTTTCTTTTCTTTTTGCCATTGTAGACTAACCTCCTCCTCCAATGTTTTCAACAAATCAAAGCTTTATTGCGGTCAAAGACCAGCACAGTACAATGTTTTCAAACCTAGAGATGCTCCCAAACTCCAGATTACTGTAAATCCAGAACAGGTCACCATGTCCCCAATGTCAAGGGCTTCTGAAAGGGTAATTTAAACACCAGGAGGCTCTGTAAAAGTGAAAATGCTAGGTAATGTCAAAGAGACAGGCGCACGCACCCACCTCACCCCAAGAAAAAGACCTCTGTGAGAAAGGCTGAATAGAGGCCATAATGGAATCAGAAGAGGACGTGGCCAGAGTATCTATTTTTTTTTTTAAAAAGCCCCTATCTGGTGTTTAAAAATCGCTTGTAAACCTTTGCTTTATAGGTTTATATATATGTATATATCCAATCTCACGTTTGCAGACTGGATCTCATCCCTTTCTAAGGCAATCCTATGCAAATTTATTCAGAGGTAAAATCCTATTATGTTAAATGAGATTGAAAGATGCAAAAAATACTTAGTCCAGTCTTCATTCTGTTAACAGCGTCAGCAGCACATTGCCCTCTTAAACCACAGTTTATTTTAACCGTGCTTTGAGTAAGGTCCAACTGGCTGGGTTCACACACCGCATTCAATCCTAAACCAAGGTTTAACAGACCAAAATGGAAGACGATATGATGCACAGAACCTAAACCACATTGGGATTGTTAGACCTTTAACAATCCCCACTGAAAGCCACACAACCTTGTTCTTAATCCAACTTGGGCTCCATCAAGGGCCATTGCGGAATTACGCAAGACGCCGTTGCTAAAAACTCACCCCAAGTTTAACTTCTGAATCCCTGCAAGCTTTCGAGCAAAGACGCCGGCCATCGGAATATTGTTTAATAACAAATTACCCCCCCAAACATCCTCACAAATGCTAGTTCTTAGAAGATTATCGTAGACCGCCCCAGTTGGAGGGCCTCAGAGGTCATCTGTCCAGCCCCCTACTCAGTGCCATCCCCGTCTGACAGCAGAGCATTCCAGCTTCTGTTTGAAGATGCCCAGTGAAGGAAGACCCACCACTTCATGGCACGCAGCTTGTCCAAGCAGAAATTCCATCCTGATGTCTAACCTGTCAAATTTATGCTGCTTTGTAGCCTTGCAAGGTCAGAGAGAAAAGTGAGGTGGCCTGCGGAGAAGTCTGCGCAGCAAACAGGGGGCCAGGATCTGCTCTAAGTCCAGATAGATATGGCCTCTTCCCACTAAACAGTGTCCCCCTTGTAAGCCCCCAGGGGCAGAGACCTTATTTTATAGGCTTTGCAGAAATCCAGCCTTCCATGCCTAATTTTCACAGGCAAATGACTATCTTTGCACGGCTAAAATGGTACTATCCACACACAGCTGAGAGATGCGAACAGACTCAAACCCAAACGTCTTTTAAGGGGCACTCCCCCCCCCCCCCCCAAAGCACAGCCTAATGAAGTTTAAATGTGTCAAGCGGCTGTGGAATAGTGCTTGGGGGAGGAAGAAAAGAGAAAAATCTGATGAGGAGAGAGACAGGACAGAGTCTCTTGGAAGGGAGCCTAGCTGACTGACGGAACAGTGGCTCTGCATGCTGCAACACTTTGCTGCAGCTCTCGTCCTCATCGCCCACATTAGATACTAGTGCATCTGTTGTTCCTAGCGTGCCTGTGCTTCGTTGCTCTGTCACCCGGCCAGAAGAAAGCAGGGAGGCTCCAGCCCTATTTGGTTCGGAGCTTAATCGCTCCGTGCGTCATCCGTGCCAAAGCGTTCCTGGGGAAGCCAGGGTACAGATGGGCTCCTAACGCAGACAGATGGTCTGGGAACTCAAGGGCAAAAGGGAAACCAGCTTGCTTCGCTGGACTGGTTAGCCAGGCAGACTGGGAGATTAGGAATGGCCACCCCTCGGTCTACCTGCCCGGCCCCTCCCACTGCTGGGGAAGAAGGCGCTTAAGAGAAACGGCCGTGGCTGGGCTCACTGGCGTGAGATGCCCTCAGCAGGCTGCAAGGGGAACTGGTTGGCTTCAAGGCTGCCTCTGAGCAAGCAGCAAGAACCTCGTAACAACCTTGCGAGGCTACAACTCGAGGATGGATAATGTGCAGGGCGGGCTGTGGGGAGGGACTCAGCTCTTGTTCTCTAAGGCCACCCAAATCTGCAGAGTAAGTACAAGATCATCAAGCCGCATCTACGCCCTGCCAGAGGATACTGCATGGCCAACCCTCCCTGGCTCACAATTTCCAGGCCTGCCAACCATGGCGTGCAAAGCACACTGAACTGCAAATCCTCCAAGCTCAAAGCAGTCTCCGTTCCAAGGTTCAAACAGCTGTTTATCAGCCCCACCAGGCCATCCAGACCAGGAAACTGACTCCATGAAAGCTAAAATAACTTTGACTGAGGCAGGCTACAAGAGAATTCTTGCCAAGTCAGATTGTGCTGAATCTCCTCTTCCTTCTTGCAGTTCAGCGGGGGGGGGGGGGGTGGCCGCTAATCTGTGTGTCGATGCTTAATTGAGAATTTGCAGGACGGATACCGAAGAACGAGGATCCCCAGGGAGACGCTGGGATGGCAACAACCTTTGAGAAAGTTTACTAAAGAAAGGTCCCTGTAGATCCCCGCAGCGCCAGGGGTCCGTCCCCCACCTGCCACGTTGTGCCAAACGGCAGGGATGGTCTCCGGAATTTGACTCCCAAAGGGGTTGCTTTCGATGGGCAAGTTTTATAGCCCTGCGACTTCTCTGTCCCCCTCCGCCCCAGAGCTGCTGAGTTGAGGCATCAGCAAGGGCAAGTGACACAGTAATGAGGATTAAGTGTCAAGGAGGTATCGGTGGCCTAAGGCAAGAGGGAAATAATGATCTAACTGGGGTCAGAGCAGAGAGCTGTTATCTCACACCTCGCAAGAGCACATAGGAAGAGCTAGCTAAGCAGCCTCTCTTCCAGGTGTTAATTCAAAAGTGCAAGTCAATCGCAGGACGAGGTGTCTGTCTGAGCTCTTCCAAACATTACCCCGTTTCCCAGGACTTCAAAATGTTTCAGCCCACTTGGCCTAGGTAACAGTTCTTGCGTATTTCCCTCAAGGTCACCTTTCTCTCTACACTGTTCCCCCCTTCGGGAAGTGTTTTGATGCTGTTCCAACTACTCTGGGCATGTTCTGAGCTCAAAATGAACCATTTGGGGCCCCAAACCCCCATTCTGAGCTTGAAACACTTGTGGAATGGGTCAAGACAATGTTCAGAGACTTCTGGGGAACTAGGAACCACCCCCTCTGAATCTGGAAGGACGGTATTGAATTAGAAACGGGATGTTTTGAGCCTGAAACCTTTCACATTCAAAATACTTCGCCCCTCCCTACCGGCTGGGACCAAGATCGCAGGGGGATCTGCCAAGGGACAGATTCATCTGTTAGCTAGGGCAAGAATGGATCCCCTTTGGATAGCTGGAGCCTGGCAATACCCAAATGCTTGTCGCTTCACACTGGACGAGTCATTTATACAGCGAGATGGGCAGTGTATAAATTTGATTAATAAATAAGTAAATAAAATCAACTGCAAACTCAGAACACCCCATTTCAAGTCCAAAGTGGCTATTTCAACCTTATCAGCCGTGTTCTGATATTCTCTGATCGATCTGGAGGCATTCTCAGCCCAGAACTGGGGCCATTTCAAGCGCAGGGCAATTCCAGAACAGTAGGCATATTGTCAGTCAGAGTGGAAGAACCTGCTCTGAACTTGTTCCAAGGTCAACACTTTTCAAATTCCAAACATTCTGCATGCCTTTACTACAGACCACATTGAGGATTTTAGGGGAGGCCAGGAGGCAAAGGAGGATGAGCTGCGTAACATATATGGGTGGCCCCAGTGACTGAATCTGTGTGTGTGATGTCAAAATCTGCAAGGTGGGCAGACATGGTGTTGCAATCAAAGCCCACATCTGCTTTTTCTGGGTTTGACAGGAGGAGTTTCTTTTCCCATTGATTTACAAGGCTTAGAAGACACTACAGTCAAACACAATTTTTGAGAAGCTTTTGCGATTATTAACCACACCAGGCCTATTTTACAGCTCACGTTACAACTTTTCAGCAGGACCATTTGGGAAGGGCCACCAAAAAGAAAGAAGGGTTCACGGGAAATGATGGCTTCCCTGAGGCCATCTCTGATCTACAGAAGCAGAGAAGTTTCTCTGTTTGGGAAAAGGTCACCTGGCATCAGCCAGCTATCTTGGATTCTCTTTTTTAAATACAAAGCCGAACGGGAGAGAAATAAACAGCACGCACGCTCACCCTGTATCATTTATTAAATTATACCAGTGTTTCTCAACCGTGGCAGCTTGAAGATGTGTGGATTTCAGAAATCTGGGAGTTGAAGTCCACACATCTTCAAGCTGCCAAGGGTGAGAAACACTGAGTTATACATTGATCTCACTTGAGAACACAGGTGATTGAGTCCATGAGCATTGCGGTCACAGGCAAGACTCTGGGGAATGTGGGATTTATTCATTACAAACTGCCATGAGCAAGATGCAGACTGGGAAAACAATGAGACGCAGAGGATTTAGCCTCTGTGGCCACTATATCCCCAGGCTGGATAGGACAGCTATTGTTTGTAAAAAGAAAAAAAGACACCAAGCAACCAGGGTGAACTTTGACATCTATTCTGCTTTGGAGCAGACCCATTTGATAGAGCTAAACAGGACTGGTTTGCTCCAAATGTTTCAGGTCCCTGAAAGCGGTGTTTCTCAACCTCAGCCACTTTAAGATGTATGGACTTCAGCTGGGGAGTTCTGGGAGTTGTAGTCTGCACATCTTAAAGTGGCTGAGGTTGAGAAACACTGCATTAAACAACAGGAAGAGATTCAGGGGGGGAGAGGAGTGAAGATGGCTGTTCTTTTCATTCAACCCAGACCGTCAGATGGTTTGGTCCTGTATTCCACCAAGAGCTGCGTTAGGAAGTACTTGAGAAAGGGTACCACTCTGTCCACCATCTTCATCATAGAAAAAGGAATGGTCCTTGCCGTGCTTACTGGTCACAAGGATGAAGGCAAGAAAGGCGACAGGCAACCGTCTGGACCAGCAGGACCTCCCAGATTTCAGCCGGCATTCTACAGAACGAAAAAGCCCCTCTACTCACAGGCAGTTCAGAAGCGGAGGGCTGGAGAACGTCTTCTTGCAACCCAACCAGCCTTCCTTGTCTAAGAATTCAGTCACTTTTGCTGTCCTCGCTGTCAGAGTAAGTCCCCAGAAGGCCGAGGGAAGAGACCCCTGTGCTCGAGCCAGGTGCGGTCCCTGTAGAAGTGCCATGAGCGCTCTGCTTCCCTAGAAGAAGATTTGAAAACTCAACAGTTGCTGAAAGACACAAAGAACTTCTCCAGACCCTCCCCAACTTGGACCTCCCAGATCCTAGACCAGTGTTTCTCAACCTTGGCAGCTGGAAGACGTGTGGACTTCAACTCCCAGAATTCCCCAGCCAGCATGCCAAGGTTGAGAAACACTGTCCTAGACTATCGAGCCCATATGCCCCAACCCTTGGGGAAGACAGAAGTCCAGTCCACCCCCACCTGGGCATAGGTGGGCAAGGCAAAGGACAGAGAGATGATCATGTAGAACTGCCTTCCCTTAAACAGGGGTTTTCCAGATGTGTCGGCATTACAGTTCCAATCAAACCCCTTAACACGAACCCAGAAGCTAAATTCTCATCAAGTTAGCCAGAGTTTTGGCAAGAAAAAGGGGTTCAGTTACAGCATTTTGGAAACTAAATAGGTACACGCTTCAGTCCCACTTTAATCAGGGAGAAGATTAAGGGAAGGCCTCCCTGATGCCTTTGATCCTCTTTCTAGATGTCTCTTCGCTCAAGGGGAAGTTGCTACCCATGGATGAGACACGAAGGGAATCTCCATCTCTTCTTGCTCTGCAAAGGTTCACAAGCATCCTTTCGGGTTCCCAGACCCAGAGAATGCCATTATTTCAGCAAACGTCCAAAGTTGAAGACCCAAGAGGACACCGGGAGGATTCCAGGCTAGAGAAGACTAACTTAGTGAGTACAGAAGCTACCATTTTCAGCCCATTTTATGGGCATCTCTTAAACTGGCTGCAGGGAGAACTTGCCTAGTCACCCAGCGGCTTGCATTCTGGCCAGTCCCAAAACTCAGATTTGCTAAAATGCCACCTACCATCTACTTCTTCCCTGCTGGACAGGTGGAGATGCTTCTAAACCAAACACCAGCAGCGCCCACTCATGATTGGCATTTTCTAAGAAAGCGTCTACACCAGTGTTTCTCAGCCTCGGCAACTTTAAGATGGGTGGACTTCAACTCCCAGAATCCCTCAGTCAGCCATGCTGGCTGGGGAATTCTGGGAGCTGAAGTCCACCCATCTTAAAGTTGCCGAGGCTGAGAAACACTGGTCTACAGCCTGATCCTCGTGTTTTGGAGCATCCCACATCTTTTATTTAAGAAATAATTTAAGGTAAAAACTCAAATGTGGCAGAGATGTCAAAGGAGACGTCTGCAGGGATAATGGTGTCCCAGGCCTAGATTACGGAAGGCCAGTTAGAGCACAGAAAAAAATGGAAAAGGTATCCTAGACTCAAGCTTGATTCCTGGGGATTACCGGGCACGTCCATATTGTTCTGTTGGCAATACAGGTAGTCCTCGCTTAACAAACACAACTGGGACCAGAATTTAGGTCACTAAGCAATATGGTTGTTAAGCGAATCATCACGTGACCGGACCTGATTTTACAACCTTTTTTGTGGTGGTCGTTAAGTGAATCACTGTGATCATTAAGTAAATCACACGGTTAAGCGAATCACATGGTTTCCCATTGATTTTGCTTGCCAGAAGCCAGCTAGGAAGGTCATAAAAGGCAACCACATGGGATGTTGCAACCATCATAAGTGCAAGTTGGTCGCCAAGCGCCTGAATCGTGATCACGTGACCACGGGAGCACTGCAACAGTCGTAACTTCAGGCACTTGTAAATCATTTTTTTTAGCGCCATCATAACTTCAAATGGTTGCTAAACGAACAGTCATTAAGTGAGAAATGGTGTGCCACTGCCTTGTTGCAGAAGGCGGGCTGGGTTCCCCTCTAGCCTACTGGAATATCCTGGTACTTTCCCTTTAGATCCCGATTAACTTCCAAATTCAGACTAAACCAGCTGCATGCTGCCATCTGTTGAAACTGCAGCAGTTAACCCCACGCTCAGTAGAGGAGATTAATGAGAAATGGCCCATAGTTAGAATGCACAAAGGTGCGTTCACATGTTTGCTGGAAACATGAACAATGTGAAGGGACATTTTATCACATCTGGTGGACGTGTAAAAAGCCAAAACAATTTAGATACAAAGACATACATTAATTCAGATGTTTTTAAAGATTAAAACACAACTGAACCCAGAGATTTTTCTTTTGGGACTAATGGAGAGGCAGCTAGAAAAAGGCCATGGAGCTTTGCTTTTATATATGACAACTGCAGCGAGACTATTATATGCTCAAAAGTGGAAAGGTCCAACATCACCACAATGCAGGAACGGTTGGTGAAGATGGTGGAACTTGCAGAGTTGGCTAAATTAACGTCCTCGATCAGAGAAAAGACAATATCTACATTTATGGCGGATTGGAAACCCTTTATAGACTTTTTGCATGAAACAGACAAAAATCCGCTTATGACTTTTGGTTCTGATGAAAAGGGGGGGTCCACACGTCTTAAAGTTACCAAGGTTGAGAAACACTGCCCTAGAGTCAACAGTTTCTGTCTGCCCACTCCAGGTGCCCTCTATTCAAAGCTGTCATCTTGTGGCATGGAGGAAGCGTGCCTTTTCTATCACAGCCCCTGCCCTCTGGAACAGCGTCCCCCCAAGATAAGGACAGCGCCCTCCCTCCTACGCTTCCAAAAAGCCGCTGCCTCATCCTCCTGACCTTGTTCGGATGGCACATCCTGGCTTCCTGCTCCATTGGCCACCATGGAAACGGACTTCCTTTTGGCAGTCACCAACCCTGACAGTTTTGTCTGCACCGAAAATTTTCCCACGCTCTTCTGCCAGGTTTCCAGCTTCTGCTTTTTAGCTTGCGGCTCCGAATCCTGTGATGGAAGCCAAAGGCACACTCAGGGTTTTACTAAAAGCGACTGTGCTCAAGGAACAGCTAAACATGGATGCCGCGGCACCAAAGAAGGGAGGGTTGGAACTCCTGGTTTGCATGGGGAAGGGCTTGGGGTCCGCCCAATGCACCTGCATCGCAGGGCACCTGACTAGCTCAGGGCCCAAGATTTGCACTCAGAGCAAGCGCTCCCCAGGCAAGCCTCCCGCCCCCCGCCTTCCGATCTGTTCTGCCTATCACAACTTATGAGAAGCTTCCTAGTTCCAACTTTTAAAACCCGGAAATAACACCTCTTACGTTTTTTCAATAACAAATCCAGTTTTTGATTGGCATTTTGATTTACTGCCATCATATTTGCATCCTGCTTTTTCTCTGAGTGCTCATCCTGCATTATGAATGGAGTTTCCTTAAGCCCTTAACACTTTCCAAGATGAAGAATAAATCCCCAAATCTCTACAACGCTGCCCGCTGAGGGATTCTGCGGCATCCGAGACTGTCTTTGAATTTCCAAAAGGGTTTTTTTTGTTTTTGTTTTATCCAGCAGCAGATACCCTGAAGAAATCTGGAAGGAGGCAATTCTGACCAATTCTTCTTGCTGCTTCCATCATATTCAGGGACACACTTGGGCAGATGTCATGGGCTGTAGGGGGAAAGGGAGCAACCTCTTGCTGCCACTCGTGAAAGCCTCTGCTGAAACAAAGTGGGTTTCCTGTGACTGGAAAGGCAGGCGTGGGTTTCACAATTTGGGGCTCTTCAGACCTCCAGGGGCCAAACTCCCAAACTCTGTTGGGAAAGGATTGGGTAGGATCACAGGACAAATCTTAACTCATCACTTGCTTTGCAGCTTTCTCAAGCATCACTCACTGAGTCACAGAACAGAAGGATTGGAAGGGACCTTAGAGATCATCTGGTCCAACCCTATGCCCATTGTATATCCCCAACAGATGACCCTCCAGCCTGTTTCAACCCCTCTGGGAAAGGAGTGTGCATTATGTCTGTTCCACGTCTGAACAGCTCTTACCATTTGGAAAGTCTTCCAGATCACAGAAGGGAAGGACTAGAAGGTGCTTAAGAGATCATCCAGCCCAATCCGCTGCTCAAAGCAGGAAGAGCCCCCATGAAGTGGGATAGTCCTTCGTAACATCACCCAACTTCTTGGGTGACACTCGAGGGCGCTTTGCATACCTGCTGCAGGATGTCGGTTGGCTTCCCTTTTGCAAGCTGTTTTGGGGGAGCTGGAGCGGGGTCCTCCTCTGAATCAGAGTCTTCAAGCAGTCTCCTGCTTTGGGCTTGCTCCAGCATTGCTCTGGGTGAGAAAGAAGAGGGGGAGACGTACATGGTCAGCAACTGACAGGGCAGAGCATGGGGAGTAAGTTCAAGGACACCAGGTGTAGCATGTCATGCTATTTCCAATCTTCAAACACTTATCTGCAAATATTTAGTCAAAATCCCACAGATCCTGCTTAGCTGTGTTTTTCAACCCTGGCAACTTTGAGATGTTTTCCCATGCTGGCTAGGGAATTCTGGAAGTTGAAGTCCACACATCTTCAAAGTTGCCAGGGCTGAAAAACACTGCTCTGTATTGTTTCAGGAAGAATATTTCATCCATGCCATGAGATTTTATTGGCTACTCTTTTTCTGTCAAATAGCATTTTTTTCATTCAATGCTTTCAATCTCATTGTTCCCCCCTCATGGGTCTTCCAGATATGCTGGACTTCAATAGCTACTAGAGAGCATCAAATAATCGAGGATAGGATTCAGGACTGGATATATTCAGAGGGGAGGTCTATGGAGGACAAGTGACCTTGAAGACTCCATGTTATCCTTGGGTGGGGGATTTGTGGCTTGGCCTAGTCAAGGGGATCCACATGGAAGAAGGATCTAGTTGGCCGCTGTGAAGAACAAAATGCGGGATGGCTGTTCTGATCTTCTTACGAAGTTTCTTAGGCTTTTATGAAGACCACCTTCACGCAGCACATCATGAACCTGCAGACTCCATTGCCACAAAATATGGGGATGGCCCCCAACCTGGGTGGCTTCCAAGGGCACTGGAGAAATTCATGGAGGTCTATCAAGGGCTATCAATTGTGAATTGGGAAGACTCAGTGTTCCCTCTGGGTTGGGAAAACACTGGTCCAGCAAGCTCCAGTTGCAGGTGAATACTAGTGGGGGACAGGTAGGTCTCTCTCCTGCTTGTGAGCACCCTAGAGGCCCCTAGACCACCCCTGGGAGAAACAAAATACTGGAGTAAGATGAGCTTGGCCTGATCCGCTGCAACAGTTCTTACCTGATATAGTTGCTTGTTTTTATGAAGCCCTTTTTGTAAGCACATCACTAACCACTACAATTCATTGCCACAAGACGTGGGGAGGGCCCCGAGTTTGGATGGCTTCATAATGGGTTGGATAATTGCTTGGAGGACAACCCTACTGAGACTTCATTTTCTCCCCATGTCGAGGGCAGCAGAATTCCAAATGCCAGCTGCAGGGGAGTGGCGGCGGAAGATCAAGTGGTCTCCATCCCCAACTTGCAAGCACCCAGAACACCTGCCTGATCATTCTGAGAAACAAAGCGCTGGACTAAGGTGATCCAGCAGGATTGTTCTTAGCCTCTTTTTCATTCTCATGACCAGCCAGGAGAGGTCGCCCTGGGGCCAAAATGGATTAAACGCCTGACCTTTTCAGTTAAACTCAGTGCCTACCACCAAGATTGTGACTTTGGTTTTACACCACCACTTCAAGGGGAGAAATTATGACTCCAAAGCTCAACCTATACCCCATTTAACATAAATACCAGCCACATTCAAAACAGAAGAACCACAGCGCCTGTCCTGGGGAATAGCATCTCTCCGGATATCCAGATGGCCCTGACCCTGTTAGCCTTTCCCAGGGCTGACTCGGTGAAGTGTTTGAGTTGGGCAAGCGCTGCAACTGATGGGGTTTTTGTGATTTATTGTTTTAACATCATGGGCATCATGGGTTATATGTTGTACAGGCAATCCTCGCTTAACAACCATTTGTTTAGTGACCTTTCGAAGTTATGACAGTGCTAAAAAAGTGGCTTATGACCAGTCCTCACATTTATGACCATCGCAGTGCCCCCATGGGTCAGGTGATCATGATCCGGGTGCTTGGCAACCAGCTTGCACTTACAATGGTTGCAGCATCCTAGGGTCACGTGATCACCATTTGCAACCTTCCCAGCCAACTTCTGGCAAGCAAAATCAACAGGGATCCAGTTAACAACTGCCACAAAAAAGGTCATAAAATTGGGTCCAGTCACATGATGATTTGCTTAACGACCACATTGCTTAGCAACCTAAATTTCAGTACCAATTGTGGTCGTTAGGCAACAATTGTTATTTTAATTCTTGTACACTGCCAAGAGTTACTGCTGTGAGACAGGCAGCCACGAAAATCAAATGAGTAAATACTCCCATAGGACATATCAAAGGACACCAGCATAAAATGGCAAGAGCAGATCCCAGGACAGAATTATTGAATCTCACTTCATTTCCTGCTCGTCCTCCTCCAACTCCCGCTGTTTCTGCTGCTCCTCGAACTCCTTGTACTGCTGCAACATAGATTCAAAGTCAACGTGGGCCTGCCGCTGGTTGAGTTCTTTCAGCTCCTGCAAGTTCTCCAAAACTTCCATCTCTAGTTTGGAATCTTTGGTCCTGTTCTCCAAAACCTGGAAAGATAAAAGCAGAAAGGTGTTAGGACTTGGAGGATAAGGTGGCAGGGACAGAAGAACAGCCAAAAAAGCAAAGTGGGACATCTTCTTCTTCAGAGTGTCCACTTTCTTGTCTTCTCCTCTGGCTCTTTCAGAAGGGAGAACAAGAATCAACAGGGGCAGAACTGGAAGAAAGTATCTTTGGGCTAAAGATCAGAGAATCTTCCAGATAATAATACTGCATGTTGCTGAAACAGATTCCCTCGTTCCTTCATAGAGAGCGCCACCTAATCTCTGTGTAACCATCTTTAAGAGATATGGCAGTTATATCACAGCTTCTGCTTTGTGTCAGGGGGTTGCACTAGAGACCTCCAAGATCCCTTTCAATTCAATGGTTGGGTTCCCACTACACACCAAACATAAACTAACCAAACATGATGGGGTCCCATGCTTGCCACAAAACAGTTAACAAATCAACCAAAATTATTGTATGTTGCCCAGAGTCACATGAGATGAACAGCTGTATAAACTTGATGAAATAAATAATAAATAAATAAAACAAAATACAAACACACTCTCCAGGTTAGCATGTCGAACAAATGCAGCTTGAAGTCTTTTTATGACCTGGTTCAGCCTCTGGAATGAACACAGCCTATAATTTTACTATCTGTATAGCTCAAGTTGTTCTGTTCCTCCAGTTCCTTCTTCCTGGCTTCAAAGAAGGTCTAAAGGTTTTAACCACACACTTGCAGATCGATCCTAACCTACACTGGAAAATTAGAACTCTTCCTTCCCCAAGCTGAAAGAAAGCCAAATTACATTTTTCAAAAGGCAGCATTCTGAACCCACCACCCAGTCCTGATTTTTACTACCCACCCCAAAGCTTTAGAATAATATCTGGAAACAAATGTTAACAAAGAAAATATAGGAATTTATAAAAACAACCAAGCGAAGAAATCCAATTCTCCCAAGCGCTCAGTTCCTGCTCCCCCATACTCTACTTAGAAAAAGGTAGAATAAAAGTTTCTTTCACAGCATAAGATTGGTCAAACACCTTCATGGGGTTGTTCAGCTCTTCATCTTCTCTTTCTTTCTGCAAACGCTTTTCTTCTTCCTCCAGCAACTTCTCAGCTTGGAAGTTTCGGGTGGCTCCGTGCTCCATGGCATAATCTGTGTTTTCAGGGTCTGTCTAAAGAGGGAATAGGACAAACACAGAAGTTGTTAATTCTCTGATTTGTAAACTGGCAATGAGCCCTTTTTTTTTTTTTTTTTTTTTGAGGATGATCTGCAGCTCTAATCAACTGGGTAAGTCAAAATATTGCAAATACCCTGCATAAATATTGTGCACAGAACAGAATGCAGGCACCCCAATTGTGGAGAGGACATGGGTTGTTGGCGAGGAGTGTCTTTCTGGAGTGACACTCCTAATTTGGTACATGTGTCATACAACCAGCAGGAAAGACAAACATGGGTTTGAGGAGTACCCACTCGGCCACTACTGGGGTTCTGGTCCAACTGCATTTTATTTGCTTGTTATCTTTAAAGTGCTAACTAACTAGCATCTTTAACTTCCCAAGCTGTCGGTGGCGCTGAGGCATTTTTAAAGAAAACATAGCTTGATGTTCATACAGAATTTTCTAATACGGTATACACCAAATACAAGCTAATTAAATCCTCCAAAGGATTTAAGACAATTGGATGCAATCAATTTAGACAGGGTGCCCAAGGAGGGTCAGATAAAGAACCACAAAATATGGAAATGGTAACAAACTCATGACAGCATCAGGGCTAGGGGAAAATCAACCCTTGGCTGTGTGAACAGCAAAACTGTTTTTCCCTTAAAGGAAGACTAGGCACTTGTTATGCTGGACCATAAAGAAGGCTGAGCGCCGAAGAATTGATGCCTTTGAACTGTGGTGCTGGAG